TTCCTGAAGGTCCTGGTCAGAGTGTGTCCATGGGCTTCATGGATACTCTTGTGACCAGTAAGTCCGGCAAAAAGCACATCTTTGTAATAGTGGACCGCTTTACCACGTATGCAAGACTAATCGCTATGCCAGAAACTGCTAAAACTGACTTTGTCATCAAAGCATTCATGGACAACTGGGTAAGGGACTTCGGTCTACCTACGTCTATCATTAGTGATAGGGATGTAAGGTTCACAAGTGAACTGTGGCAGTCTGCTGCTGAACAAATGGGCACAAAGCTCCAAATGACGTCAGGGAATCACCCCGAGTCAAATGGCAAGGCAGAACAGATGAACCGGGTAGTACAGCACCTCCTTCGGCATTATATTAAGCCAAGTCAGGATGATTGGGACGAGAAGTTACCTCTCGTCGCCAGCCTGTACAATGCTGTACACAGTACCACTGCTATGACCCCCAACCAGCTACATCTTGGTTGGGAACCCAGATCTGCGCTTGACTTTCTGCTACCAGAAAGACAACCCACAGTAGCACCTGGCAGCATAGAGTTTGCTGTCAAGTATGAACAGATGCTGCAGCAGGCCGTTGAACATATTAGGAAATCTCAAGAAGCAATGATTGCATCTGAGAATAGACATAGACAGCCTTCTAACTTTCAGGTAGGCGAGAGAGTCTGGGTTAAGTCTGCTGAGCTTGGTCAGGAGTTAGGCATATTCCGCAAGTTAAAGCCACAGTACTTTGGGCCCTGGGAAATCTTAGATATTGTAGGAGATCAACCAGATGGTCCTTCATACATAATCCGCATCCCACCTCATTTGCGTACCTACCCTGTGTTCCATGCCTCTAAGTTAGCACCCTTCGCTGCTACTGAGCAGTTTCCCTCCAGAAGATCAATGCTGCCCCCAACCATGGATGGCGAAGTGGACATTGACCAGATCGGCGAGCATCGAGTGATGCCTGTTCCTCGACCATCAGGCAGAGGGCGACCTCCTAAACCAAGAATGCAGTATCGTGTGAGCTTCAGACATCATCTGGATCCTAAAGAAGACCGGTGGTTCACATGAGAAGAACTCGTGAGAACAGCACCTCAAGTGATTGCAGGCTATGAAAGATCACTCAAAAAGGGAAAATGCCTGCAGAATAAGAGACTTCCCAGAGGACCTACGAAGTAAAGGAGGAGGGAATGCGAGGATCTGGGTCCTTGGCAGGCCTAAGGGCCCCTGTATGCAGCATTGCCCGCCCTAAGTGAAGGCAGAGGTGCCCGCCGTAAGTGAAGGCGGGCCTAACAAATCACCTGAGGCCCTCGACTGTCAATTTCATATTTGGGATCCAGGCAGTTGCGACGTGCTAGTTGGTTGAGAGAAACTCAGGCCGTGCTACACAGACATTTCCACGGCCTTTCGAGCCTTTCCAAGGAATGCAGGCCCTGGGTGTGATTCGCAGCCTCATACAGAGACAGTTGGGCGCCCAACTGAACGAGGCCCAACAGCCCAGTAGCTGCTGCATCCAGGCAGCCTCCTGGGGCGTTCCGTAAGCTTCTGGGCCCAGGCCAGTCCAGCCAGGCTACGCGAGCAAGAGCTTTCCCCCTGGCAGCCTCATTCGGTCACTTGCTGGCTGGCGGCAGCGCTGCTGGAGCGATTGCTCGCGGGCTGGCTGCCGGCATTGGAGCAAGAGGCTGCGCACGTGCGGTCGTGTGTGGGAGCAGGGCGCTGCTGAGGGCAGCGCCATAGCCAGCCTCCATAGCGGGCTCGGCTTGGATACAAAGTGAGGCGCAGGGGTGGTCTTCGGGTGCAAGAGAGGACAGGTGTGGGTGTTAAGTCAGGGAAGGGCGAAGGATGATGATGATGATGATGATGTGAGTGCACTTACCTTGTATTGGCGATGGTCAGCATATGGGCGACATCTTCAAGTACTTCGGGTTGCCGCTGATGTCAACAGTTGCATTGTCTATTATTAGGCTGATCGTAGCTGTGTAGAAGTAGGCTGGGCGCTGAGCGCCAAGTAGGAGTGTGAAGGGACTGGACTCTTGTGTTGCTGAAGGAGAGAGAAAGCTCTCCATGACATTGGTTTTCAGTACTACGAACCCCCATTGGTGTATTATTGGTGCAATGCTGTTCTCTGGACACACTGTGACTATCTGGCTTTTTATGTGATGGTGTAATCTGGATTTGTCATCTCGCTTTTGCTTATTTTCCTTGCAAAAGGCCCACACCTTTCACATCGGTGTCCCATTTGCGAAAATACCCAAATTATCCCTATACACCGCGCTGTGAAAGGGTAATTTGGGTATTTTCCCAAATGGGACACCGCTGTTCCCAGTCCCATATGTCGGGGGTTGGGTCCAACGGCGGCCGCTGTTGATAAATTTCGTCACTGTCTGCCGCGTCGTTTCGGCCTCGGAAACAATGCGGGACCCTCGGCGCCGCTGATGTATGTGAAAGGTAGTGATGCTTCAAGGGCCCGCAGAAAGATAAATGTCCCAAGGGGGAGTTCGGTGTTTGAGTTCATGGGATTTTCGGCAACTACCTTCTTCCCCCGAATACAACATATGGTGATTATAGCTGTATTTGGGTTATCTTTCAGTCTAAATACCGTTATACTGGCCGTACGTCTATATATCCCCCTCGGCGGCGGACAGGCGCGGCCAAGTCCGCGGCCGTGGCCAGTCCGCGAAGCCCGCGGACGTGTTCGCGCGGACGCGCGGATTTGCGGACATGTGGCGGCCGCAGGGGAGGGGGTTTCACAAATCTGGCGGAGCCACGTGGCGGCGCATCCCCTGCCCCACCCCCCCACACAAAAAAAAAACGAAAAAGATGAACTTTTGGTGGGGGGGGTATGGGCGAAATCCAA